CATAAATATAATATATATGAACAGAGGCCATGGGCCAGGGGAATTAAATTTCTGAGCAGGATATTCACAGTATTTAAAAATATATGTAATATGTGTCTTCCCTAAAATGGCAAATGAATCCACTCTCAGGCCCTGGCGGGTGTTTAGCACGCAGAAATAGCAACAACGATACGAACAGATAAGGATTTGGTGCTGGGTATTAGAAGACCATCTGCAATGATAGAATATGGGAAGTAGTGGCCATTACTAAGGTGGGGGTCAATGCATCCTGAAATTTACAGAACAGAACGCCACTAATTCCACCAGGCATCTAGAAGAGGTAACATCTAGAAAAACAACTGGGGAAAATCCAGTTTTGTATAGTTAAATCTAAAACAGCAAATTGTGTACATATTCAAAATCTATCCACATACTGCAGATTTTATTACTTCAAAAACTATATCTATAAATATTAAAAAGTCTAGAAGAATATGTAGTATAGAGTTGCATATGGCATATATTTCCAGAGGACAAAACTGGAGTACTGATAGAAAATCTTTTCCTGTTTATTTTATGTATGTTAAGAAAAAGGAGAAAAATTAAACATAATGCGATAAAATTTCTCTTCTCCAAATGTGCCAGTTGGGTTTTCTAAAATTATAAAAAAAAAATTGGATGTACTAAAACTATAAGTAATACAGTGATTACCTGTTTAGTCACAATCAATATACAATTTCTAAAAAGGTTTATTGGCATGTTGTTTTGTAATACAAAAAGACATAGTAGGAGGGGGGCACTAAAATAACTCAAGATTATAAAAAAAAGAATAAAAGTAAAACTATCCTTCCAACCCCAGCTAACGAAGACTGTCACTTATGTCTAATGGCCAACATTCCAGTCAATCCTCCTGAACACAGTTTGCGGTGTCCAAAATATGTGAAGCTGCATAAAAGTTTCTTTTAAAAGCTTCTTTCATAAGTGAATAGTTTCTTTCCTTTGTCCATAGAATTTAAAGCTTTGTTAAATTGGATCAGCAGATACTTCTAATAAAATCCTGTACTATGTCTCTTCTCTACTAATTTTGCCCAGTGTATTCCATGCTTCAAGGTGACACATCTAACCATAACTATGATACTACTCTATATACTTGGGTCTCCATTCTGATTTTCTAAAGTTACTGGTGGCACTAACAATGCTTCTCCAATTACCTCGTCCACTCTAGTTCTGACTGATCCTCTACACTGACAACTGATAACTTATTCATTTCAATCATTATTCTCTTGGGAAATAACATAGCTTAGGTCCTCTGAACTATAGCTTGGCTATATCCTGGTGTCTGACTCTTGCTAAGACAGATCAACACCTATGGACCTTAAGCAGCAGCTTTTTGCATTTGTGAAAACTGGAGCCTCCTGACCTGTTCAGGTGCTGGAGTATAGTGTTTAGCTCAGAGGAACTTAATTCTTACCTAGAATTTTTCCGGTGTGCTAAAGCATATGTCTCTCCCACGTCCCCAACCATGTAAATTGAATGGTTAAAGTAAAAACAACAGCTGTCTCTGTCGTCTCTTTGTATTTTGGTTGAATAACAATGGACAGACCTATTTCTGGCCAAAATGTGCTTGTGGTACTGTTAAGAAGTAAGAACATTGTCATAGGGCATTTCGAACATTGGGCAAATTGAGAGAGAAGATCTGAGTACTTACATGTACACTCTCAACCAAGAATAAATAACTTAGAATAAATGAATCTTGGGGCTGGGGATTTAGCTCAGCGGCAAAGCGCCTGCCTGGCAAGCACAAGGTCGTGAGTTCGGTTCCCGGTA